GACGAAACGTCCATCCAGTGCTTCCAGGTTCTCCATGGTGGTCTAGCTTCAATCGACTCATGATTTCAACCTGTGAAATTTCATATAATTATATAAAATAACTTCTATATTCAAAATAATGCTAACTATCCCATTGAAGATCAAATTAGTACCAATTATGTAATAGTATTATTTATTATTAAAATAAATGATACATTTGTATTATCCTGATGAGAATGAGTACTGATGAAGAGTCTCATACAAGGACGAAACAACTATCTAATGCTTGTTGGTTTATAAATGATAGTTTAGATAATATCAACTAAGGATTTAATGTATTATGTGATAAACAAACAAAGTCACCCCTCTCTATTTGATTACATTTTTTTATTAAACATAAGAAATTTATGAAATATTAATCATATTCACTTGATATTGTTTGGCTTGTATCTTTCCATTGAGGTTTAAGACTGCAACTGATCAGTCTGTTATTGACATATGTGCATACTGTGCGTATGCCTCGATATCGCCCTAAATTACAAGCATTAAAAGCAAAGATACATAGTGGCTAGCAGTGGGATCCAGTTCGACGCGCGTTTCGTCCTGTTTGGGACTCGTCAGCTGGATGTACCTGCCTCTTAGGGTTGATGTTCACTCTGGGACTCGAACTCACTACCTTTCGCTCCAAACGCCATCGCGTTATCCACTTAGCTACTGAGTACTGATAGCCACTTGCTTGTGCAATGTGGTTAAGTTTAATTCACTTGGTATTGTTTTACTTGTGTCTTTCCATTGAGGTTTTACGACTGAAATTGATCAGTCTGTTATTGGCATATGTGCATACTGTGCGTATGCCTCGATATTGTCTTAATTCACAAGCTTTTTGTAAGCAATGATAAATAGTGGCTAGCAGTGGGATCCAGTTCGACGCGCGTTTCGTCCTGTTTGGGACTCGTCAGCTGGATGTACCTGCCTCTTAGGGTTGATGTTTACTCTGGGATTCCACTACTAGCCATTATCCATCATTGCTTAATCATGTTGATTATATGCTGTAATTCATTTTACATATCCTCTCCTGATGTAATAATATTTAAGGGGACTCTATATAAACTTTAAACCAGAGGAATTTCTTTATATTGGTCAATTATATAAAATCATTGTAAAAGACTAATCTATAAAGGAAGAATAGTCTTCTCCAGAAATTCTCTTTAGGTTCTACAATTCATATATTTGAATTAATAATGTGGAAAAATGGTCCAGGTTAAGGGTAAAGTGTATCGTTTCAAGCATGTAAATTTAAGATTGTCATACAAAATAGAATATATTCTTTTGGTGTTGTTTGTTTGCATTTTCCGATTATGATTCAGGACTGTAATTCATCAGTCTCTTGTTGACATATGTGCATCCTGTGAGGATTGTCTCGATATGGCTTTAAGTCACAAGCTTTATAAGCAAAGATGGATGGTGGCTAGTAGTGGAATCCTATTTGGGACTGGTCAGCTGGATGTACCTATATCTCAGATATGATGTTCACTCCGGGACTCGAAACCAGTACCGTTCGCTTTAAAATAAAGTTGTTAAAGTTGATATGACTCATATAGAATGTTACCTTCAATTAACTTACATATTAAGTGAAATTTTTAAGATCTATGATCAGAATAAATAAAGATCGGATAGGTTGAGAGAAATAATAGTGCAATTACAATTCGATCAAATGATTAGTGGAAGGAAGTATTGGGTGAAAAATTAGTAAGATATAATAAGGTGGGATGAATGCGAAGTGAATAAATCATGTATAGAGGAGATTAGTAATGATGTTTAACCAATAGTAATAATAACAGTGATAATAATACAAAGATTTTTGGATGAGGATAACAGAGAATGACATTTTTTGAGATCATGAACCGATTGATGTTAGACCACCATTCAAAACGTGGAAGCACTGCACGGCTGTGTCTTCTTATTGTGAGACTCCTCAGAAGTGCGTATCCACGATCCCGCTCGCTGGATTGGTGGACTGGTTGAGGTTAGACATTAACACCGTTAGATGCCGGCCGGTTCAGTGTTCTAGTAGTTCAAGCGTTCGCGTGCGAGACTGAATGCCCTGAATTCGAATCCTGCGAGCGGGATCGTAGATACGCACTTCCGAGGAGTCACATACTAGGACGAAACGCCCGTCCAGTGCTTCCAGGTTTTCAATGGTGGTCTAACACCAATCGATTTATGATCTCAAGCAATCACTTATTAATCCATACAACTCTATACTGACAATTACATTTCACTACGAAAGGTTGCAAGTGCAATAGTCAAATAAGGTCATTCAATAGCTGAGATTACCATTAATTAATTGGCTTTGAGGTTGACCATGAGAGGAGAAACGTTTGAAAATATTTCTTTCGTACGCATAGCTCCAGTTGCTTCATCCGGGTGGTTACTGCTTCAGCCGTTTGAAGAACTTTAAGTCTGACAAGCTTTGGCGGAAAATTGCTGACCTCATAAATAATTGAAAAGGATTGTTTTATACTGGTACTATGACTAGTTTGCACAAAATGGGCTAATATCGAGCTGTTCACTTTCTTGACTTGACGTTTGCTTAGCTACACTAGGAAGTGCTCACGAACACGAAAATGTAAGTTCCTAGAACTTCGACCAATATAACTTGTTCTACTAGAGCAGTCGAACTGATAAATAAAAATGAGATGATCATCCTAGATAATTCATCTTTCAGCTTCGGATTCAACATTGCGCGCGTAGAAAACACTAATCGTAGCTGTCCGATGTTAAAAGATTTTTGTATTGTCCTGCATATTTTCTGAGTTGATATTCCGCTAGCCACATCCCCTCTGCATTGTAGACGTATAAACAGGGATTTCTTATTCTCTGTTTATATTCTGCCTATTCTCACCTTTGTGATCACATAGTTAATTAGAAACTTTCTAGGCTAACCATTCTCCCTAAGAGTATTACACATGATGTTTAGCTCTTCTTCAACTATAGACAGTGGAACATCATATAGTGCATAGTTGGTAACTAAGAATTTCGATCAAGTTTCATTTGTACCGTAAGGGTATGAAGCTAACGAAATGCAGATACTACTCAGTCCAGGTATCGTGGATGCGCACTGCTGAGGAGTCCCATACGAGGATGAAACGGTCGTCCAGTGCTTCCAGATTTTTCATGGTGGTCTAGCTTCAATTGACTCATGATTTCAATCAGTGGAATTTCTGAAATCTTCACAAAACCTCTTCTGATAATAATCATCTACTCACTTGTGACCGACTTTAAGAGATACTGCTGAAGTTCTAGTGAGAAGCCGTTACCAGTGGAGTTCAACCAAGTCTGTTGTGAGATATCAACTCACTGAAGACAATGGTGTACGGTGGTGCAACTTCGTGGATTGGTTGAAGTCAGACATTAACACCATTGGATGCCGGTCGGCTCAGCGATCTAGTTGGTTAAGCGCCTGTCGGGAGACTGATATGTCCTGGGTTCAAATCTCGCAAGTGGCAATGTCGTGGATGCGCACTGCTGAGGAGTCCCGTACTGGGACGAAACGGCCATCCAGTGCTTCCAGGTTTTCCATGGTAGTCTAGCTTCAATTGATTCATGATTTCAATCAGTGAAACATCTTTCTTCTGTTTAAATTCCTTTTTTGTTTTCATGTAAATGTAATTAAAACTTCACTGTCAGATTCACTGTTTCTAATGATGATTTAAACTTAAATCATAAATCTATAATAGAAACAAAAAAAGAAGAGCTTCATGTCGTTACTACCATCTCTCTAGGGTTATATTGATTCAATTATGCAATTTGATTTATAACCATTCATGATAGAAATATCATCATGATCATACACCAATAGTGATGATAGTAGTTAAGATAGTTCTAGTTTAAACTGTCTATATAATAAGATGAAATTCTTCTAAGGTGGTATAGATTAGAATCAAATTATTTATGACTTTCTCCTAATATTAGTTATCTATTTAATGATTTACAAATTCTCAATGTTCATAATTTAGTTTTAATTATTTCAGCATGTAAAGCTTGATACAAGAAGGTACCAAATAGACATGCACTACATTTTGTCATTCGATTTCTCTGAGGGCTGAGATATTGTCCAGGTGTTCAAACTAAAGAAGGTGGTTTTCTTAGGGGGCCACACCACAAGCCATTGACCTAAACATTTAATTTATAAGACAGTAGAGTAACGTAAGGAAATACAGTCCTATGGTAGCCAGTGACCATCGATAGGTTCCTACGCAATTTGTTCCTTTAGAATCGTGGAGCCCATGTGCATCATTGGTTTGGAATCAGGGTTTTCCACTTCCCCTAGGTGGATCCTCCATATTTACCAACTCAGTTAAAGCACCGGACATTCACTTTTCGTCCTCTTAATTTCGTAAACAACATCTTCGTTGCCAGTTAGCAGTGAATAGAACTTCTCTGACAATGGTTGTATGCAGGTGGTGGTATGAGAGCATTTGGAGAGGGAGAGGTGACTCTCTCCACTCTTGATCGTAACAGGGCATTTGGGAGGTAAATTGTGGTTTTTTGGCACAAAATTAATATCAGAAGGGGTTTTATGGATATTATAGTAATTTTAGTGGTTGAGATCATGAGTCATTTGAAGCTAGACCACCATGTGTCACTCAATTTCATGGATTAGCTGAAGTCAGACATTACCACCATTGGATGCCAGCTCAATGGTTTAATGGTTGAGCGTTCGTTTACAAGACTGATAGGATATACATTGCCGAGGATTCCCACAATAGGCCGAAACAGCCATCCAGTGCTTCCAGGTTTACCATGATAGTCTTAGAAGAACACAGTTCAAACCGAAGCAGATGGTTTTCTTACAAGGTCACACCACAAACCATTGACCTAAATATCTAACCTATAAGATAGTGGAATAACATAAAGAGATAATACAAACTATAAACCAGAGAAATATTTAACACTATTCATTGTACTGATATTATTTCTGTTTTTTCTTATTTTAATTCCTTTCTTTATTTAATTAGGCTGTGAATCAAATCTTGCTCGTGTACTTTTATTTTCAACAATCGGTATTCTTCTTACATTACTTTTCATCTTTTTTCTATGTTCAATAATTCAAATTTGGTAAGTCATTTTATTTTGCAAGTTTAAATGTTATTTTTATGCGTTTATATATGTGTAAATTTTCAAATCTATTTGTTGTTGTTGTCGTTGTTGTTGTTGCCGTTGTTACTGACGTCTCTGCTGTCGTCGTCGTCGTCGTTGTTGTTGTCGTGTATACAACCACTGTTATAGAAATCCTACTCGCTGCCCTCTCGAAACGGGGGTGTTGTTTAGGAAATTGAGAGGACGAAAAGTGAATGTTCGATGCTTTAATCGAGTTGGTGGATGTGGAGAATAGTTCATGAGAACGGTGGTCAATGTAATTGATGCAAAATTGTTTTATACGTTAGTTTTAAATTACCACGTATAGAGTACTTCTTAATAAGTATTTTACATTTGATGAAAGTTAATATTAAGTTTACAGTATTTAAACAAAACCAATAGTAAATTATTGTCCAGTATTGTAGTTTGGTTTATTTATATAAATGAGAGATTCATTTATCTATCATTTATTGAATTCCCAAATAATTTTGCTTATATTGTATTTATACTACTTATATCTAACGAAATAAGTAGTATATAACACCAATCAAAAGTTAAATAGTTGAAAATAGAAGAATAAAAAGATCTAATTAAAGTGAGTAGAAGAAGAAATAGAAAGAAATTTTGAGTTGGAAGAATCATTCATAATATAAAAGACAAGTGATGGAAATTTACAAACAAAGTATTCAATATATGATTTTTATAATACTTAATTACTTAATTACGCCTGTTACTCCTCGTGGAGGAGCATAGGCCGATCACCAGCATTCTCCATCCATCCCAGTCCTGGCTAATCCATTCCACTTGCTATTCATCCTTTTCATATTTGCTTACGATTCCCGACGTAATGTGTTCATCGGTCTTCCTCTTTTCTGTTTCCCTTCACAGTTCCAAGTTAACGCTTGCTTCGTGATGCAGTTTGATGATTTCCATAATGTATATCTTATCCACTTCCATCGTCTTTTCCTAATTTCCTCTTCATCTGGAAGCTGGTTTGTCCTCTCCCACAATAGGTTATTGTTGGTGGTCTCCGGGTTATGTATGTTGAGTATCTTGCGAAGACAACTGTTTATAAATAGTTATACCATCTTATATGTTACCGAGATTTTCTATAATTTTCAATTGAATAATAAGCTGGTTATCTTCATTTAAGTGTTTGTTCATTACACTACTTCTCATTATATATGTATATATATTAAATTTTATTTTTCAGTTATAAAAAGCGACAGTCATCAAACAGAACATGTTCATCAGTAGTGGTAAAATCAACAGTTTCGAAACAAGATAATCCAGTAAGTAAGAGTCTCCCCCCATCTCCCATTAAATAACAATTTCATTATATATATATATATATATATATATATATATATATATATATATATATATATATATATATATATATATATATATATATATATATATATATATACAATTAGTGTTGAGACGTTAGTTACAAAATGAACGATGAATGGTTATCACCTGTTTCTTTTTTTCTTGTCGTTAAGAGAGCTTCATTGAACTGTGAATGTTTATAATAAAATGGAGGGAAGTTTTAGCATTAGATGGTATGTTAGTTGCTATGCTTTAGATTGGTTTCATTGGACTGTTGAAGAAATTATTAGTTTTCTGATCATCTCATGGTTTTCATCAGAAACTAGAGTACATTGGACAAATATTTTGTTAGAGAATTTTTAATGAGTTTATACCATGCATGAATGACATCTCAAGAGATTAGAGTCATGATTCTTGATGTTCAATCTTTATTCAATGGTGATATTAGTTCGTTATGAAAATTATCGTCCCAATATCATGTCCTCACTAGTGCTTAAGTTTGAGACGTAGAACTCTTGATTAAGTGATTTTGACTGTATCAGGTGTATGGCGGTCACCAACCAATGACATTGGCAAACAGTTACACAATATCGTGAGTTGACTGAAATATAAGACGTTATTCGTTGTATTACAACAAGACAATCTAAAGATTAAGCACTCACTAAGAAACCTGAAGGTTCTGGGTTTGATTCTCTGTGAGTTCATAGACGCTCATAACCGAAAATTCCCATACAAGGATGAAACAATTGTCCAATGCTAGCTTACTTTCACTGGTTGTTTGACTGTGATCAATTCCATGATGCCATTCAACGGTGTTAATGTCTAATTTCAATCGATTCATGGTCTTGTGCAATTTTCTGACACCCAACTCGACTGGTCACGGCTTCTCACTAGAACTCCGGAAAACCCATGTCGAAGATAGGCACTAGTAAGCACATGATTACTATTAGTATGGGGGTTTGTAGAGATTGTAGTAATTTCAACAGTTGAGTTCATTAGTCAACTTAAGCTAGACCAACATTGAAAGCCTGGAGACATTGGATGGTCGTTTCGTCCTAGTATACGAATTCTGAATGGTGCATATCCAGGACTCCGCATAGAGAACTTGAAACCAAGACCTTTGGTCTCATGCGTTAACACTTAACATCCAGACCAATAAAACACCAACCAATGGTGTTACTGTTTAACTTAAATCTATCCATGATCTTGTGTGAGGAGAATAACTGTCTCATACCCAACATGGATCGCATGCGGATCGTGGACACACACTGTTGAAGAGTTCTGTACTAAGACGAAACGGCCTTCCAGTGCCTTCAAGTTTCCAATGATGGTCTAGCTTAGATCAACTCTTCTGTTTTCCCGGTTTTCATACTACAAAAGTGTTTATTATCCAATAGACTCCTAAACCTTTTTAGTGTAATCTTTTTTTTTCTTCATATAATGTCATTTCTACTATACAACGATATAACAAACATCTTGTTACTAACCGTAAAGACTTAAAACACTTGATAAAGATACCGTCTACAATAACTTTTCACAAGGTGAATACCACTTAGAATTATTTGTTGAAATTTGTCAAAAAGATTGAAATCATGAGTCAATTGAAGCTAGACGACCATGGAAAACCTGAAAGCACTCGACGGCTGTTTCGTCCCGCACTCCGTGGGATCGTGAATGCGCACTGCTGAGAAGTCCCATACTAGAACGAAACGGCCGTCCAGTGCTTCCAGGTTTTCCATGGTGATCTAGCTTCACTTGGCTTATGGTTTCAATCAGTGAAACTTCTAAAATATCCACAAAACCCATTTTGATAAAAAAAATTGAAAGTCATCCGATTTCATCTTAACTAATTCATTTGGTAGTTTAAAGTCAAGGGCACCAAATACATATGCGTCACATCATATTTGTGTGTATGGGCTGTGATACTGCCCGGGTGCCCAGACTGAAGCAGGTGGTTTTCTTAGAAGGCCACACAGGCACAGGATTCTGGAGCCCATGTGTACCATTGGTTTGGGATCCGGTTATACCGCCGGACATTCGCCTTTCGTCCTCTCATTTTCGTAAACAATACCCCCGCCACGAGAAGGCAGTGAGTAAGACTTCCCTGGCGGAGGCTGTATACACGTGGCCGTGTGAGAGCATTTCGAGAGGGAGGGTGGACCCACCCCACTCTCGGCCATACCAGGGTATTTGGGGGCATAGTTTAAAGTCACTAAAAATGACTTTGGCATTATTTATCTACCTTTACATTTATATACTTTTAATTCATATTATTATTATTATTATCATTAATTATAGGAAAATATTCCATATAAATTGAATCAACATTCAATCAATTTATCATTACCTAAACAGAATTATTCAAAACTATCTAAAATATATCTTAATCCATTATTTGATACAGATATAACTAAAGCATATTCAATGAATAGTAAAACTAATCCTACGGATATAAGCTCACAAATTACAATGAACGAGAATTCTAAACGTCATCATCATCATCAGCAGCAGCATCATCATCAGCGGTATCAGCAGCAGTATCATCATATTCTTTCTAATCAACAGTTTCCCATTACAAACATAAAACATAATTGTACGAATTATATTGATCCTTCAACATATATATCTTCAATATCAACTATGAATAAAACTGATCTACAAATGATCGATCATTCAGATATTCATAAAAATTTATCAATATCATCCATTATTGATTTCATTGAAAATTCTTCAATATTATCTGATTCTTTAATTAATTATTCTGATAATTTATCACATATAATGAAACAATCAATAAATCAATTAGATCATTCTAAGATCAATAATATAAATCATATAGAAACCATGGAAACTTCTTTATTACATAATATACCAATAATAAGTGAATTCAATGATGATAAATCTATTAATCCAATAAATGATCACACTCATTTACCGAATACTTATACAAGTTCTAATGGTTCAAATCAATATAATCTATCATTAATTGATCTATATCAATCAAATTATATACCATGTTCAAATGTAGACTCAATCATTCATCATATACCATTCATGACTAACTTATCCCATGATAATAATAATAATAATAATAATGATAATGTTATATTCAATTTGAATAATACTAATGATATGACAAATAATACAGAATGTTTAAATCATTGCCATTGTTCAACATTCAATAAACTAAGTAATACAGAAAATATGTTACATAACTCATTAATATGGAATCATTCAAATAATAATGACCATGATCATAACACAATGATGAATGCATCCTCATTATCAAATAACTCTTGTCAACAATGTTTAATACATCATCATCCTCATCATTGTAACCATGGCTACCAAATAAATCAATATGAATATTCTAAAAATTCTCCAATACAATTAGAATTCAATTCAATGACAAATACTTCTAAGAGTTGTTAATTTATCTAATTGAAAATGAGAATTTTTTTTAAAAAATGTTTTTTTCTTTTTTTTTCTTCTTTTTTTCAAGCTTTACTCTCACTTTTGTTGTTGTTGTGGTGGTGGTTTATACATCTCTTGAGTATTCATTATTCCTATGTGAATTATGTACAATGATTTATAATGTACGCACAGAAAATACAAATCATCAATATCAAGTGGTCTTAATCACTATGAATATTTACTTATTTATTCATTACATATCAACTAATCTAAATGAACAATATCTTTTACTTTCTTATATAAGAAAGTATAATAATAGTAATAATAATAAAGAAATAATAAATGATAGTTCAATGGTTCCTGATATTACCTCCTCCTTACCCAACCACCACAACTCTTACCCCCTTAGAAGAAAAGTGTCCAAAAAAAGAACATTTTGAAGGCTAAATTTATAATATAAAAAAAACTAAACAAATTACATGTGAACTGTTCCAATGACTTTGAATCATGTCGTCATTTTAATCCGAATTGTATATAAAAATAATTGTTTTCTGTCGTGAGGGGGGAGAGGTGATGGTGAATGATATGATATTCTCTTTTTCTTTCTCTTATTCTCTCTGTCTCTGTCTCTCTCTCTCTCTCACACACACACATTTATCGCTTTCAACCCCACTATATTGATATACCTATACCTTTTTTTTCCAGCTTCTCATCTATTAAAAGATAGACATTTAAAAAGACAACAAAACTGATAGGAATCATAAACTGCAATAAATTTGTTCATTATGATGCTTATACAATCCAAGGAGACTAATATAAACTACTTCATTGACAGATGGAATACACAAGAAAATCGACAACAACAACAACAACAACAACACCAAAAAAAATTCACACATTCCTTTATACAATATTCAATATTCAAAGATCCTTTCAAAAGCAAAAACAAAATAAGAACCAAACAAACAAAAAAACAATCAATGAGATATCATTCTAATTTTAAATGGTTCACAATCTTTTTTCTCTGTTCAATTTCCAATATTGTTGTTGTTGTTTTTTCTTTTTTTCTTTTCATAATTATTTAGCTCTTGTTTGTTTGTTTGTTTTTTCTCTTTTTTGTTTCTTCTCTGTTTGTTTTTTTTTGTTACATCAAATCAAAGTGAAGGTAACTATTATCACTAGGATTATTTCCGATGGATAATGATCATCAATGATATGTGATTACTTATGACATAATAAGAAATAGTTTCATTTGTACAGTTGGCTTTATTCCAAATATACATATATATATATATATATATATATATATATATATATATATATATATATGAACAGAACAATTAATATATATATATATATATATAATGTGAAAAGAATTAATGAATAAATCAACATAATTATTTTTTCAATCAAAATATATGTATCTATGCTTTTGTTTCCATAGAAAAAAAACACTTTTGTGTGTGTGTGTGTGTTTGAATGTTCAATATGAGGAGGTAATTTGGCGAGATTCTAATTTATGGAGGAGCAAATCAGAAGCGTTTTAGAGATTTCAAGGTTACAACGCCAACTTCAGTGCTTAATGCTAACGTACGATCGATTCACAGGAGATTCTTTTCAAAACGTGACAATTAAGAGGCTAAAACAAATGAAACGACGTGACTATAATTTATGGACGAATCAATCAGGTATAAGATAATAGATTTCGGATTTTGGTGCGAAAGTTTTTCGTCCATTTGCCAAAATAAATTTCTGACGTTATAGCTGATGTCAGTTTGTGATGAAAACCCAATATATAATTCCTAACTAAGGCAAATTATGACAATTATTGCGAACTGGATAATAAAAGCACCAGTAACACTGGCTACAGCCAGGTACTACAATATATACGGATGTTTGGAGAGCGTACAGACTGGTACATAGGCTTATTTATGTGTATCATGTCATTATTCACAAGTAGCATTTTGTGCACTCAACAACCGGAGTGCACACAAACAATATTGAAGCTATATGATCGAGGCTGGAAGAGTATGTGAGACTTTATTATGGCTCCAGAGATCGACTGTTCTGCAGCCGTATAAATGATTTCATCTACTGCACGCATTACGATTCAGAACCTCTGAACCTCTTTCTAACCTTGACAAGTTTTTGAACCACGTATAAGAAGTGTATCCACTTTATTTCCTTGGTTTCGTATAACATCTTTTTACTCTATACTGACTGTTTGCTGATTGGCTAATGTTTCTCAAGGTCGCTTAAGATTCGTTCAAAGGTCGTCCATAAATTAGTTTCGCCGGTAATTTTAGTTAGACAACATGTAAGTTTAAAAATGGAAGGTAAGTGAATGGATATCATCTAGTAGTGTGTAAACAGCTGTAAATTCTAAAGATTATATATTTCATTCATGATAGTGTCATGAGTATACATTATAGAAGAGTATCAAACAAGGGGAATAAAATTATTTGGTGCTTTAGGATTTATAACTTGTTATAATTTGTACTATGTATCCTAACAATTTATCATGTAACGATATCGTCAATTAGAGAAGAGTAAATTATCGACCAGACCAATGACGCATAAAACCAATATAAGCAGTCTAGAGTCTTTATCAGTCCTGCTTTCTGCCTAACTCTGTCCGTTAAGTTTAGAACACCAATCTCAGCCTCTGCAATATGGATGGTATATTTTAAATATATTGGGTTTATATGCTAATCAAACAGACCGCATCATACCATAAAGTAGAAAACAACATTTGTATAAGATTTAGCAAAAGTGTCTGTGAATGTGGGAGGTAGTAACTGATCGACTGGGTGGGTATAAGTCAAGAATGGTAAATGGTATAATAACAGTTCATAGGTCAAAATAAAGCTTATGAAATGAGGAATACGAACATGAATGGCTTAGCTACTTAACAATTATACAATAAAATATATGTATAGTATTACCCCAGAAATAGATTCCAACAGTTACTATCCATTATTCTCGTCGCGACGTAACATAACGATAGTCTAGATAATTGTATTTCGTTAGGTAAACTATCTTGTTATTAAATTATATCCAAAAATTTTAAATCCTAATAATGAAGCTATTTGTTGCTATCACGATAATATGTGTTAATAACATCCAGTGGTGGTTAAAATAATTAATCCTTGCACAACATTTATGTACTAATCAAGGTTCATTGATGTCCTTCCTCTAACTTTGGTTGCTGAGATGAAACTGTGTTCATTTTCAAGCGGCCAACGAAAAACCAGTCGTCAGTTGTGGAAAACGATATGCTTATCGAAACGTGAATTTAAACAAGTCCTTACGCAGGATTATTTTACCACAGACTCTTCAGTGAGTATCATTGACATGGGTCTACCAGTGCATTATAATACCAAACAATGTTAAGTAAGTCAGAACATTAGATCACCAATTTATGACACACCATTTTCTGATTATTGCTTATGTCCATCGTCAAAAAAATATAAGTATTTATAAACAATTGTCTACGCTAGACACTTAATATCCGTTGGCCAGATACCATCAGCAACAACCTACTATAGAAAAGACAAAGCAACTTCCAGTTGGAGAGGAATTTAGGAAAAGACTTTGAAAGTGGGTAAAACGTACATTACATAAATCATAGAACGGCATCATGAGGCAAGACCTTACTTTGAATACTGAAGGAAAACGGAAAAGAGGAGGGTCGATGAACACACCACATCGAGAATTAGAAGCAGACCTGAAAAGGATGAATAGTGACAGGAAACAACTGGAAAGAATCGACACAGATAGAGTTGGATGAAGAATACTAGTGAGCGGTCCATGCTCCTCGACAAAGCTTAACTGGTATAAGTAACTAAGTTGTTCTTCTAAGTGGACAATACTAGTTAGAGGTACTCAGTTAGGCGTCATGACTAAATTACCACAGGGACAAGTATGGGACGCGTATCTTCTCTCAGACAGTCTTACATTTCTTTACCTTTAATTAAAACTCAAAATAAAACTCTTCCCAACTGTCATCCGCATTTGTCTTCAAGGTGATTCTTATGATATAAATTCGGTGAAATGTTCTGCTACCAAAATGGCTGGAAATGAGCCTCAAAATTACCACAGCATGCTGTGCAAGAAAGGCATTTTTGTCACACTTAACATAAGACTCTGGATCAGATAGTACCAAAACTTCAGTGTTTTTTCAACATAGGAGGCCTCCAAATTAAAATTACCTAGGTTGTATGTGTAGTTTACAAGATTCCTCAAATGGAGTACTTCACACTTTGGGATGTTGAAAGTAAATCTGTTGCTATCCACTCAACTTTGAAGAGTCGGGTCCTACTGATGTCCTGGCTTGTTATCACTAAGGTTCATCAGAGAGATCATCAGAGAGCAGTCACATATAAAATGAAATAGAGCGGAGGGCCTAGTAATGAACCCTGGGGAACGACACTAAGGCATTTTGTAGCCTGAGAAAAAAGTCAATAATTTTGATATGACCTTAACCGGTCTATAAATGCTGACTTCACACCTACCAGCTTGAGCTTATCGATGAGACATGGAGAGAGAGCCATTAAGAAATCCAAGAATGTCGTATCCACCTACTACAACCGTTAGAAATTGTAACCTATTGTATATCGGGGATTTTGATGCTAACGAATGACGTTCTAACGTCAGGTTGGTTGAAGGTTTATTGCATTGACCCCATTTGAGATCTGCCATGATGTGTCCCAGCCTGCAATTGTCTTGAATCACGCCATAGCTAGTATGCATTAGACAATTACATTGATTAGTATTGACAGTAGCAGTATAGCTTAATGAAGCATATCCAAATTAGAAGTATCCTTACTTAAATCCGACAATTTTTAGTACACTAGCACCGCGCTCATTGATGAGCGACAGTCAGAATGCCTGACATTTCTGTCTATCAGAAACCCTCTGTTGGTTGTGCTATAAGCGCTCGAAAACTGGGAAATTTAGACCTTAGCTTGTCCAAGAGAGGTTACGTGGCGAAATAAGTTTTTCAGATTAGAGACATATTTGTCAATCAACTGGATACGATTCAATTTTAGTAGCTATGTTGAATCATTTTCCATATTTCCACGAAAATGGTAACCATTACTAAACAAACGCAAGTTTAAGCGACATTGAGTATGTAATTCATCACGACTACTGAACAAAGTATTCCAATTTTCCGCTGACTTGAAATAAAGCTCATTTACTGAGTCATAGTTAATACATGCCGTCTTAATTTTCCAGAATCAACTTCTTCCTCTTTGAAATAATTCTCTTTCTAAATTCGGAATATTTATCCCAGGAATCAACGGATCACGAATTTGAATTTCCAACTGGTCTTCAAAATTGTTTCGAATCTTTGGTATACTGTTCATACTGTTACATCATTCTATGTAGAACTGATCTCTCTAGGACTAAAAACTAACACACTGGACATGAATAAGTAGTAATTACTTGAGAGATTCATTGTTAGGTTATGTTAGGTCAATGAAGGTCAGGAAATAAGATGTGAATTTATCATCTATAATATATCTTCCAGTCATTCTGTGGTGTTTGAATGAACTAATGATGCCATTGTACTTGCTGAATGCTTGATTTCGAATTCTAAATACAGTACATTCATTTGTGGTTATCTAGTAATTCTTGATCCGATTACGTTATTTCTGGGATTCCTAGTTCATACTATAATTCAAATACGCGTGAACATCAAACATTCACCTGATTTTGGACTCCTCCGTGTAATCTTTCAAGCCATCCCCACATGAATCAGTATCTAATTGGCCAAGATTTGACTCCATCACTATGCCACTGTGATAATTCGAAGTACTCAAATCCATATGCTAACTGGAAGTCCCAAAATGGTGCAATTTAAGGAACGTAGAACTAGACGAGTACGAATGAGTGCGCAATCAAGTACATAGGAACCATTAGTTCGCACAAATACCACAGTAATATGACTCTCTATATTTTAATTAAGGAAGGTTTGAGCTTCCTGTTTAGATCCCTACAAGGCATCGTGTAAATTTTGTCCTATACACTGTAAAGGAAGTCAGATAGATCTTTTAGGTTGATCATCAATAAAGGGTCACTGCAAACCTTGATATATTCTCAAGGTTTTCGAGTCCACTCAGGTTGAATTCCTATTTGTTCGAACGTTGAATTGAAGCTTGAATTTCCACATCTTTTTAATTAGTTGGACGACACTGAAACGAGATTTTACAGGTGATGCATTAGATGAAATCTTTTTAATGACCAACGTTGTTGATCATCTTAGTTGACTTTCAATCCCAGTTGACTACAGCAGCCTACTTAGGCACCACAGATACATTTAGAGACGATAGGCTAAATGACTCCGATTTACTTTTAGAACTGTGTATGTGATGGCATTGCTAAGTCGCACCATAGCCTCTGTCAAGGAAGATGAGGTGTTGAACAATGGATCTTGTCTAGTCGTGCCAAGATTTCGTCTTTTGTTACCAGTATCACAATTTTGTGACACCATCCTCAATAGTATTGTATGGGATCTTCAATTTGTGATTGAAATCCAAAGTCAGAAGGAATATCCAACGAAAGTATGAAGACATTCATATTTGTTATTGTTGTTTAGTTAGTTGTAATTGACACAGTACCAGCATTGTTGTACGAGTAAATGAACATGCTATAATTGTTGGATAAACGGACTCCTGTACCATTGTTCGTTCACTATAAATCGTATAATAGTCAAGGTTAATTGATCACGCAGTATTTCATTGTCTGTATTGACATTAATATTCCAACCATGGCACCCTCATTAGAGTTGGTCTGTGGTCCACCATTTTCGGAGAATGAATATTTTACTTCACCTTATGTCTTTGGTTGATTATTTCTCCAAAAGACTAATGATATAACTCAAGATGTTCTCAGCCTTTACATTAGATGAAACATATACATACTTGAAATCTGAACTATTGTGTTACTTGTAAGGGCTTGTTAAATTCGTCTATTTCACATGCAACCATCCATTTCGTACAAAATAGTCCATAGGCAACCAAGTGGGTGATAGGTCTAAAACGTATAGATAAGGTTAACGAACTCCAGCAAGAGAGATTCTTCTCGCTGAGCTGCAGCAGAATAAGAGGTGATCTGATAATGGCATACCAAATATTAGGTACGCCAAGCTACCCCAGCTCGAGCACATTATCACAACATCATTACCACACTCCTTGCAGCGACCCTTAAAAGACCGTATATCAAAGGACAAACACTCCAAATGTGCTCTCACTTCTTATTATTTGGAAACACTCCCACTTGACATGTTCTTCGAGCCGGGGTGACCACAGCCCCTTCAGATGACAGCTTCAAGAGAGGCCTGAAAACATATACTAGCCCATGGATTACTATCCCCCTAGTGAACTAGCTGGGCCTAATACATGTCCCATAAATTATCCGTAACCACTTCTCACTACATTTAGGCTATCTGTTTATTAGTTTTAGATCACAACCAACCGACCTCCTGCCTAATAATTTGATAGCTGCTGGTATCCAGAAATTCTGCTGACTTCAGACAAACTTGCCCGACTACAAAACATGTGACTCAGCAAATAAAAACCGCAGTGAGTTTCAGATATTTCCGAGAAAAAAAGTTGACATCAGTTAGTTTCTGCTTAGTCGTCTGAAATTCATTGTTTATTGGAAGGTTATTCTAAGCATCTCTCAGTGACAATAACCTTTACAAATGATATGAACTGATGGATATTCAGTCATAATTTATAGAAATAAGATGAAATAATGTTATGGCCTTTGCCTTTGATTGAGTCTAATTTTGAAGTGTGTACCAGTATTAATTGTTCGTCAGAATCAAAGTATTTAAACGTACCAATCAGACTTCAGCGCAAAATATAGTTCAAGGTCACCCTAGCGTACAGTTGTCGATAAAACGAACGAGGCTATAATTTATGGACGAACTAAACGCGAAATTCACTAGTCGATTTTGATAAATAGAGTTCTTGCATTATAGTTGATGTAAGTTCGTGTTGAAAACTCGAGATCTAATGCCTAAGCTTAATCGTTAACTCCATATTATTAGTTCCAACACTAACCCAAGGGGTAACACCCAAAAACATTAGACACAACATAGCAGAACGGACTGTGGACACAACTCCTTCTCCTTAAGAGTTGTCAAATGCTGGAATTCGCTGCCGGCCGAGCTAGTCCAAACGTCTTCCCAGGAGTCCTTTAAGAGGCAACTTGATATAATCTTAAGGAATAAGGATAGTATCACACTATGATTTACTAATTTCTTTTTCGCCTTTTATTGTTAACATACCTAGGTTCCTGCCTGGAGGTTTTGGTGATCCCCTGCTTCTAGACACGGAAGCCTGTTTAGCGAAAGCTTCCATTCCATCCGCAACCATTTGAACCATTCTAATTCCTCACACAGGTTCGTAACCCTCATTTGGTCCTGGTTACTAGGTAGACACTCTCCAGGCCAGTCTGGCGTCGCTCAAAGCTCGTCCATAAATTATAGTTTCATCACGCAAACTTCTATTCTTAAATGTAGTATTTACTAGAATTGACGTAGAAGTATATTTCGGTAATATTTAATGATTGATGCTTTTCGACCTCACAGGCCTCATCAAATGTCTTTTATTGTCAATAAAGAACTATGAGTAGTTCGCTGCACAACAATCTGCGAGAAGTTTTTGGTTGCGATGCTATAGATTCTTGTTTTTGTAAAGAATTATTTTTCGAACAAGTTGTATATTTCTTACAAACTTCAAACTTAACATCACAACTCGCTACGCTGGTGGAAGAATGTAATTGTTTGGTGAGTATTTCTACCATCAATCTTTATCATACTCTTGATGATGATAATGATCTTCTGAGGTTACTGTGTTTGTTCATAAAATTGATTGGTAATTTAAATGACGAGTTGAATGCATATCTTGGATCTATCCTCGACTCAAGATTGGAGTCAATAATGAATGACAATAGAATAATGAGCGAAGTACAGTGCCTTGTTACATCGGTGTTAAGTTCATTGAAATGTGAAAATTTATTACAACCATTATGGCATAGTTATTTGTGTTTAGAACTTGAGTCGGCTGAAATGGATACTGAAGAGTCGAATATATTCTCTTCCATCATTTGTCCAAACATTACAGACAGAAAAATGCAAATTTTGTTATCAGCCCGGAATTCAACTCATAATCATTCTCTAGTCAGTTGGAATAATTTATATCAACATTTATGTGCACCTTATATTAAAGAAGCTCTATCATACAGAACAAAGTTATTGTGTTCTGAAAATTATGCCGAACGATTTCTAGATTCAATAATAAAATATAAAAACTGCGTACTGAAAAAAGTTCTCATACCTAGACTATTCTCAAGAAAAAGTGATGTACATGATATCAATTCTGAGTTATCGGATGAAATTGTATATAAGACATTCTATTTAGTTCATAAACCTGATATGTTTTCATTAGTTATTGAATACCCAGACTCTGTTGCTGCGCTTATGGACCTGGGTAAATGTTTGGATAATCTCCCAATACGTCAAGATTTGATTACTCACCTAACCGAAGAAGTAAGTTATCCAATTTTTTGTTGTTGCCATTTCACTGTAAATATGGACCTGCTGTTGTTGAGATGTAAGTGTCTCATTTATCTGCCTCTCAAAATGTTTGCCATATTCATAACGGTAAAGCGAAATCATGAATGGGCTAATGGCTGTAAATAACTATGACAAGTGCGTTCTAAACTTCCCATCCGTAGCGATATTCTAAGACACCAATTAACAATCCGATCCATATTCTGCAACTGGTCTATTTAGCTTCTCTAGGAACATGAGTACTAATTCGTCTGTCGTAATTTAGAAAGCGATTCACTAACTCTAAACTAGGCATGTGATTCATCCTAACCAACAGAGCTGCTTACGTATTGTTGCCAATAAATGCGAGCAATACGACAGGTGTAGTGGTGTTCTATTATCTTCTAGTCGAAGAGTGCAAAACTCAGTGCATCATAGCACTACACACATAATTGATTCATCATCCCGTTAAACCGCTAACTGCTGGTTCCAGCCATGTAAATGGTGTACAATTTTTATTTGGGGTCTACACAACAACTGTAATGTGACAATAAAACACCAGAGTAGCTCGGCTAAGAAATCCCTTCTCAATGATTCCACTGGAAATTATTCATGTCATAGGTCATTGTTGATAACAAACATTATAAATTAACATCCTAAGATGATTATGTTAGAGATTTCACAGCTTTGAAGACATCTTCTTACTGAACTACTCTTGTTTTTTTGTCTCAGTAGATGTTAAATGCTGAAACAGAACCGATCTACACCTATGCAAGGCAATAGTTTCCATACAACTGACTAACACACAACCTTTCATTACCAGACCAACGTTACAACGTTTTAGAAGTTGTGATTCATATCAAAACATACTATTCCTAACTTTAATCACTTAAATGCTAACTTTGCCAGCAATAACAATACTTCCACTCACATAACTACCTAAACACACAATCCTTCACTTTATGAGTACAAACACCGACTTCTTCCAGTCTTATTGAAGTAGTTTATACTTAACTAATTTAACGCATCAACATAAATAAGGCTATTTTCATCGGACATCAGAATCTTTTGATCCAGACTGTTCATTGATTTACACTCAACAAAGTATCGAATGTATTGTTGTATTTAGTCAGAATCAGTTTATCTTTTATTATATCATCTTGATATGAACATGTTTCTTCAATATACCAATTTATTATAACTCACTTAGGTTCAACAACGATTATTACATCCAGGTGTTCATACTGAACAAATTTTAGCTGCTTATAATTACTTAGTACGAGCTTTACGTTTAATCGATAGTACATTTCTGGTACAAGATATAGTTTGCAAACCAGTCTCGGCATGTCTTCGGCAAAGAGAGGATGCGGTTCGTTGTATAGTTGATAAATTAATATCTGGCTCAGAAACCGATGGTGAAGACGATGAAATTAAAGCTGAAGCATACACTGATACAACTACAGAACTTCATCAAGAATTATTATTGCCTAAACCATTGGAAGTTGAACCATTGGATGGTGGTGAAGATAGTGATGCTGATATTGTCTATGAAGGTGAGTCAACATTGTAAATAAGCAATGACCAAATATATGTCCTGGTATACAGTAAGTGTGAATGAAATGATAATCGTTTGCGACAAACCTAATAAAGTGGTTAACTATCCACTGAAGAAAATTAAACCACACTGATCTTTCATGTAAATGGGATATGTGTAACCGAATTCCCTTATGTATAGTTATGTGTAGAAGAGACAATTATTTTATCAAATGCTTTAAAAAGCCTACATGGGCAGGGTATTATCTTAGTTTTCATAGTTCGATCATGGAGTCATTCAACATGACTTGCTTGGCTATAAATCACACTATGTATTGATCAGTGATACTACCCTGTTAACGAGACAGCCAAAGCGTATTTCGAACGCTTGACATCTTGTTAAAATCTGGGTGGTCTAGTCATTAAACTACCTCTTCTATGTTATCATAAACAGGGTCATGAGTGATATTCAAATGTTTTGTAGTAAACAAATTATTGAAAACCACTCAGTTTGATTGTAAAGTAAGTCATAAATTCCCGTTTCGTCGAAATGTCTAAAGGCAATCTACTAGACGCTTTGAAATAGTATCTTATATAGCATAACTCTCGAAAGGTAACTGCTTCGTCGAAAATTCCAAATTCAGAAACTAATAATCGGATTTAGGAGCGTTAAATTATTAAATACATTCAATCAGCACTAAAACTAAAAAAATTAGCGTTGAGTACTCCTCAGTACTGAGGAGTATTCAACGTAATATATTACTATAAACATATCAGTTCTACAGGAGGTCAGTCGCTACCTCAACGGCTTATTAGTAACATATGTGGCTTTAAAAAAACCAAATCCTACAGGAAGCTCGGTTCCTTCAAGATTGCAATAATACCCTGCTGATAACTCCTAACTAGAACGAAACCAATACCTAGGGTTCTCGCCGGTTGTTCCTATCTTTAAGCGAACAATACTTGTATGTCACGTCATCTAGAAAAGCGGTTACATCTCTTTGTGATTTTCAGAGTTTGATCAGTCATAACAACTAGATATAACATCTGTTACTGTTCAGCGTCAGAGTTCTATGTAAAGATCTCAGTCCTATAAGTTTATTTATTTATTTGAACACAAATATTGCTACAAAGGAGCACCGAATAAATATGCGTCACACAAGTCAGTTGATTTGTGTATGGGCTGTGATACTGCCCGGGTGCCCAGACTGAAGCAGGTGTCCTATAAGAAGTTAGTCAGGGCCCAAGTAATTTATCGGTTATATATATGTATGACTTGTCCACCTGTTTATACCATGTTATGAACGTTCCATCTACACAAAGTTAATCCACACATTCATCATAATCACCGTTTTATTTTGTTATGTCGAAATAATAAGTACAATATGTGTTCATCTCAATAATATTAATATCTTTTCTTTTGATAACAGACCCACCATTTGACTCCGATATACATTCTGCTAACTCGGATAAACATTTTCTTTTGGAAAGTGATTGGAAACCAGATCCTATTGAAGCTTTATGTCAACGAGGATCTTGGCGTCGTAAGTTAGATCTTTTAAGCATGTTAGTTAGCATTTATGGAAGTAAGAAAGCATTTTTAGTTGAATACAAACAATTATTGAGTCAACGTTTATTAAGACAGAGAAGTTTCCATACAGCAAGAGAATTACGAAATTTGGAGCTGTTAAAACTTCGGTTTGGCGAACAGAATTTACATGAATGTGAAGTAAGTCGTTTGGTGTGAACTTGATTTTTTTCTACCGTTATCTTGACATTGTGTCAGCGTTAAACGCTATTGCCTTTAGTATTCGCTATCAAACTTCTTTGTGATTTCAAAATTACATATATAATGACGAAGATTTTCCGTAATCTACCCCATATCTGGTTTGTTTATTAACGTATGCACAAGTTTTTTTTCATTGACTATCAAGAAAGCGAAAATTAGGGATTCCAAGCTACACTAATAGGTAGGCTTGAAATTATCTGACCAATGCCTTGAGCCACCTTGTAGGCTTTTACAACTTCGTCCAATACATGGACGAACGAAGGTCATGATAACGTTATTTTACGAACTTTGGGTGTACCAATCTTATCCTTATTTGTTACAATACATTTGTCCAGTCTGTCTCTAGGTTTCCTCCTATAGAGTTTTTAAAAGTCTTGTTATTCAGCTACCTCGTCAGTGACCACTTTTTGTGGTGAAAATTGGAGCGATTCTGAACGATAGTTAATCCTTATTTGCATATGTATTACAATACCAAATCAAGCAATAAAACTAAAGTAAAGTTCATGAAGTCAATGAACAAACCATAAGTTCTGTATTTGATACTTTTAATTATCACAATGGTTCTTTCAGTGAATGAGTGTGATTTTATTTATTTGACAAGAAATACGTTCTGGTCCTTTGGAAGTATACTATAAGTGTTAAGACTATATCGGTAGTTTGAGGACTGCGTTGCCAAGATACTGTTAATAATGTTGGGGTTTAGCTTATACACTCCCCTCTTAATGGTCAGTTATTGCCATTCTTTGTCAGACTAGAAGTTTGACTTACCGCCCGAAACAGAAACCTGTATGTATCTATTCTTATATTTGGTAGCCTTGTTATAATCGATGTATATCGTTTTCAGAGTTGTAACTGTGATATACTACTCTTATTAGCGACTTATCATTACAGAGCCTATATATCTATGTAACTCATATGTTTTATTTGCATAAGCTGTCACTCACCGTCCACGTTTAACATACAGTCAAAGGGATCTTTTATGGTATTCGAATGAAACGATCGTTTTATTGTTGTCCAGTCATACACCCGAACCCCTTCCATTTACATCTATTCTTACACCTGTAAATAACAGTGTTGTTAGATTTCTCATAGTTTACCTCAAAATTTAACAGTAGACAAACCTAAATGTTTTTAAATTCTAGTCTTATCCGCGTTAAATTTTTCTCTCACGTATAGGTTATGCTTAAAGATATTCGAGATTCGAAACGAATTGCTAATTTGGTATCAGAAGCTACGTCAAATAATTCAAAAGGAAAGCATTTAGATCAAACAGATAAATTATTAAACAGTCCTACTCTTGCTCCTGATGGTAATGAAATCATGGAATCAGATGAAACGCAGTTAAAAGTTGATTGTTTGGAGAATAATGCAACGTCTGTCGTATGTGTTACTGGCGCTACTACGACTCCCATTACTACTGCCAGTAATGATGATAATTTTGTTTTGAGCAGTAATAATAGTAGTGCTAATAATATTGCTTTTCCTTTATCTGCTTACATTTTATCTATTCATTATTGGCCGGAATTGCTTGATGATAAATTTAAGATACCTGAAGATTTCCGTCCAGTATTTGAACACTATGAACAGTAAGTAGTATATTAGATCAACAAATTTATTTAAGACTGATGTATTGTATGCATACTTAAAATGCTTATTATTAATCTATGTTATGTATTTGTATCATGAAAGGATTTTACATCAAACCGAAGATTGTTTCTGAAATTCAACGACCTGTCTTACTGTGTAAGCAGATCGAAGTTCACTTGACTTTAAAAAAATATTAATTCTAGTCACTTTATATTGTCCAATTGTGTTTTACGACTAAATCGTTTATCTCAAAGTAACACTCGTAATCTTTCTAGCAGTATATTTCTTATTATTATTCAACTTCCTGTAATCTATGGTTTTAAACCCATAACGTACGTAAAATAGATAGATGGTTGCTAGCAGTGGAATCCAAGACACGCGTTTCGTCATATCTGGGACTCGACAGCCGAATGTACCTGAATCCCAGATTTGATATTTACTTTGGGACTCAAACCCAGTACCATTCGCTTCAAACCCCATCGCATGGTCCACTTAGCTACTGATTCTATATAACCAATCGTGTGCAACGAGTATGAGATTTAATTCAATTTGAAGTGGGTTGGATTATCCTGTTGGTTTTTTTTTACTGAAAGTCAATCAGTCTTGGTTGCCATATGGCCATCTTGTGCGGATTCCCTTGCCCCATCTATCCTACATCAACTTGTGTCTCAATGACCATATTGAGATAACCGGCACATGATCCCCAATGCCAACCACAACTGATTAAATTCCAGTCAAAAATATCAACAACGCGATAATCCGAACCATTCTAAATTCAATCAATGACGCCTCGTTAAGTAGACGTAATCAATTACTAAACAAAATACTTGATAATAATAATAATCTATATATTCTGAAAATAATAATTACAGAATTCACTCCAGTTTACAGGCATGATCAATTTAATATAAATAGTAAAATTAGATGTACAGAACAAACATGTGGTAGAAGAAAGTTTTAGGTATACTAGTTCAGTAATTGTTTAGGTAGTACATATATTGCAGATAACACTTCATTTATGGTAAGGTCTAGGTTGAGTGATGTATCGCTGAAGCATATCCATCCACATTTAGCCGTATTAAGCTCCAGTTACCATTTTAAGCACCACTGCGCTACCTTGTTAAGCTCCATGCTGATGCAATTTTCCACTTATGATTCCTACACCATTCGCAAAAATACCACTGAAAAGGCCTACTATAGTTTTAGAGTCGTATATAAAAGTGCTATTATGCTGGATGCATGGTATATCAACATTTTGAGTTGTTTTAGCGCGTTTATTCAAAAGGAGAGTTAAGTTTTGCACCTTTGAGTTAGTATTGAGTGCTAGTATCTCCTCATTAATGGCTTTTAACCTATGTTTCTCTTCAATTTGATTAAAAATTATTGTTATTTGTGCAACTGCCGTGAAGTCGTTTGACTTAAAATAACGATTCTGTAGGCGTCTTAGTTTATTACGAACTTTAGCTGGTAAGGTTTACTAAACCTGTACGTTTTAAGAGGTACACAGGAATCTAAACAAGAGTCTACGATCAAATAGAATTCATCGATAGCATCTATGAGACTATTACATGAAAAAAAGTTATCCCAGTCTGAAAGTTTAATCAGTGAATGCAGGAGGTCCCAGTTAGCATGCTTATAATCTCTATATTGACAGGTTTTTTGAATGGGTCGATTATAAGAGGGAGAGCGCAAACTACTATCTTATGGTCACTACTTTCAAATTCATCGTATACTTTTACAGATGGTGGGATAACATCTCTACTAAATATTAGATCGAGTATACTATCGCCTCTATTTTTGGTACGAACCCACTGTGACCAGCAGTGCATGTTAATGGCTGCCGAAAACTCATCATTACATGACTGACAACTACCGGTACTCCAGTTAATCCCGGGATAATTGAAGTCCCAAGTGATAACCTTAGCATTAACGTTTAGAGCAGATGCATGTATGAATGTATTAATAATAAGATCATTCCCATTATTCGAACTATCAGGAGCTCTGTATAAACATCCAATGAGTAGACTATGATTCAGGGTGTTGACTGATATCCAGACTGATTCTGGTAAACTATTCACGTCACTATCTTCAACTTTATTAGTTGTTAGGGTATCCAAAACATATATAATACAGCCTTCTCCTCGCTTAGTTTCTCATCAACTCGCCTCACTTATGATATAAAGGGCGAGAATAAGGCTTGACTGTCCAAACAGTAGCAGGTGGTTTTCTTAGGGGGCCACTTCCCAAGTTTTCCACCTAGAGATCTAATCCATAGGGTAATGGAGCAACGTTAGGAGATGCAAGCTCACGGTAGCCAGTGACCAGTAATTGGTTCATATGCCATTTGTTCCCTCAGGATCCTGGATCCCATGTGCACCATTTGTTTGGAATCAGGGTTTCCCAACTCCTCTAGGTGAACTCTCCGTGTCTACTAACCCGGTTAAAACGCCGGACATTCGCTTTTCGTCCTCTCAATTTAAAAAACAGCATCCCTTCTACTAGAAGGCAGTGAGTAGGGTTTTCCTGGCAGCAGCTGTATACGCATGTCTATGTGAGAGCATTTCGAGAAGGATAGTGGACTCTCCCTGCCCTCGGCCGTACCAGGTCATTTAAGGACGTTTTAAATGATTAGTTTGGCTAGTGAAATCAAAATCTATGTTGATTCTATTAGTTCGGACTTTTTAACACGTTCTTGCTGCATAGTCAACAATTTTCCCAGTAGAGTGAACTAATTGATATTTGACTGTTGTTATTCTTTTATGCTGGTTGTATCAATGGTTGTAGTGCTTTATATTGGGTAACTTTTGGAATTCATACTTGTTTCCTTGTTCGTCTATTTCACAATTGAAATAAACATGAACTCCATTGTATATACGTTCCGAGGCATCTGTATGTTTGTGTGTCCGTTTCACTTTGTTTCAATATCATCTATTAAGTATCTTTAAAGTGGAATTTTAAAACAGTATATATCAACTCAAGAAAAATCATGCCTTGATAAATATTTCATAAAACAAGGTTAGAATTGGTTGAATTCTTGTAGTGTAGTCCAATCAGTAACAACCTAAGCTTTATGTATCTCATTGGAAAATTCTTTATTTTAGATGTTTCCAACGTCTTAAAGGCAATAGAACACTCAATTGGATGCATAAACTGGGTCTAGTGAATATCGATCTTACACTTGGCAAACGTAGTGTGAAAATTGATGTTACACCGTTGCAGGTATCAATTGTTCATCTATTCACAAAACAACGTACTTGGTATATAAGAGATTTAGCTCAAGTAAGTAAATCTGTTTCTCACTAGTTAACCTAAAGTTCTTGCCCAAAACAATCAGTCCGATATCAGTTTTTATTTAAAAGGCTATTTGCTTTTTATGAATGAATGTTTACGACACTCCAATCTGCTAGCCTTTAGAATGCTGAACAAGATGCATAATTTCCCCGAAAGACTGTACACATCTGTGGTTGCTCTTCAAGGTGAACACAACCTGGCGATTAAGAATCTAGATGAGTAAATTTGAAGTATCGGATCTGTAATTTCAGAAGTAAAATAGGCTTTACAGGTGATTGAATACGTCTCTATCAAGTTCTGGGGTGCATTCTTTCCTACTTTGTTTGTCTTAGTAGGCTATGTTATGGAGCTATTAGACTCGAATCTACTACTTTCATGTACTACTTTTACATTTACTCTTGGCATTTATTTCTGAGTAATCTCATGATACTTCACAGGGAAGTATGATTACATACAAACAATAACTTGTGAGTTTATTTGTTACAACAGATCAGCCATCCCGCTTTCGATACAGCAAACATACGTTGATAGAATACATACAAGCCTTTTTATCCGTGTGTAATTTTTATCAGCTGTCACCCAAACTAAAATTAATGAAGCTTTCAAATTAAGTTCATTTTATTAAATTTGCACCCCTTCAAACAAGTCACCAATTTATACTGTTGATTCTTATCTGTCAATCAAAGATATGTTGTTTATTGTGACTTAAGTGTAGTTAAAGCACTTACGTACGCATGTTACTGCTAATGGAAAATAGGCGACCGACCAACGTTCTCCAACCCACTCAGTCCTGGGCCTTCCTTTCTAGTTCCATCCAATTGTTGTTCATTCATCTCATGTCTGTCTCTATTTCTCGGCGTAATGTGTCCATTGGTCTTCCTCTTCTCCCTTGGCCTTGAGGATTCCAAGTGAGGGCTTGCCTTGTGGCGCAATTGGGTGCTTTCTTCAATGTGTGTACTATCCACCTCCAGCGTTTCTTCCTGATTCCTCTCCCACGGTAGGTTGTTGCTGATAGTGTATGGCCAAAGGATCCGAAGTATATTCCGTAGGCAATTGTTAATAAACACTTGTATCTTCTGGATGATGGCTTTCGTAGTTCTCCAAGTTTCCCCACGGAACTGACTTTGATGTCGGTTGACTCCGTCTGGAGCCCCTCTAGGTCTACTACCGGTCCCGCGCCCGGATAAAGGAGGAGGGTTGAGCATGAGGTTAGTAATGCCATCCCTTAGAAAACTAACTCGCTAAAAAATGCTAACTAGAAAAATAATCCAAACCATTTAAACTGCCCTGGGAGTTAGAAGGTCTTCATTTAAAAGAGTTATGACACCTCATAGTGAAAGCCGAGTTCCTTCGGAAGTCACGAGGCTGACACCCCTTCTGACAACCAGAGCAACGATTAACATAGGTACATGGAATGCTCGTACAATGTAGGAGACCGGGAGAATCATCCAAATTGCTGCAGAAATGAAAAGATACAACCTGGAGGTGTAGTTAAAGTACTTGATTTTCAATCATTCCATCATAGGTCCAAACTCTCCACTTCTCTTACTTCGATTTTACCAATCAAAATACCACTCCTAGTTTCCACACTTAAAATGTAGCTCAAAATTGAACACTGCTACATTCTTCTCCCTAATACTTCCTGACCACGACTACTGTTTTCGTCTCTTCCCAAATCAGAACGAGAATTAAGAGCGACCAATATGTACTCGAATAATCTAAATAACAAAGATACTGTTAAGAAAGAAACAAAAATAGATAATTCACTGATAAGTCAAGTCAGTGAATTTGTTCTTTACACACATTAGGTAGGTGGTTAAATGCTAGCTTAACTCATTCGAAATTATTGATTGATCGACCATTTCAAATTATGCGTAAATAATTACTGTGGTTGCTGAATAGATCAGTTTTCTTCTAGTCTTGTCCTTTTCTTTGGGTCAACATATGAGTCTCGTTCCATTGCAAGAAGTTGCAGTTATTCCTCAATCATAGTAAACAATCTTACCAGTTGTAGTAATCAGTATTTATCTCAAGTCACGACACTGAAATATCAATTTAGTTTCAACTCATTACAGATACAGTAGTAAAAACATTGTATTTTATATAGAACTTATAAAGGAATCTTCTTGACTCATCTAACAGCACTGATTGGTTGAGTGCATGGATCAATCATCAACGTATTACAATCTGAGTCTGACTAGAATATTCAGGATTCTATCCCGCTAACAAATATACAAGACCAATTTATTAGTTGTTTAGTTATACTTATATACCATTTACTTGTTTTCGTTACTATTATTGACATATTTGTCCCCTACCTTCTATTTTTTCGTTTAATTCCTTAAGAAACTAGAAAGTCAAATCTCTACTATTCGAACTAGTTTATATATGTTTATTCAGTTAGGATTTATACGACTATCTGATTCACACGATAGTAATAACCATGTAAATTTTACAAGTGAAAATCTAGAAATCTATGAAGTTTGTGATGAGACAGATACTACTAATTCAAATGAGAAGTTAAGTAATTCAAATAGTATAAATTATTCAAATGATCCTGAGAAAATTGATTCAAACACTATTGAAACAACAAATAATTGGATGTTTACATCACAAGATCATTCTGATTCACTTGTAGCTAGTGTTAGAGAACGTAAAGAAAAGGAATTACAAGTAAGTACTAATAATACTCATATTAATTTGTACACTATATGTTATATAACATTCCTATTATATACCATATTAGTTCATTAGTTTACATAGTTCAGTGACACTTGTTTGAAAGGTATCAACACACTCAATAGAACAGTATTAGTACTTATTAAATGCAATATTGAGCAAGTTTAATTTCTTTTGAATACATATTCATGTAGTTTTAATGAAACATCGTTGCGCTATTGACTCACCCCTCAAAGCGTAGTATCCTTAATAAATATCATGTACACAGGACACACTAAGCTGTGCAATCATCCACCTTCCTCCCTTTAAATCGACCAACAACATCTTTAGACATAATAGCTCAATTTTGTTATCCCTTTTTAATTGTACCATTTGATGACACCGTAAAGTAAGGCTATTGGAAATACATGACGATGACATTAGCCTGTTACCTCAATGTCGTCAAACTGCTCGATAATATAAAGATCAATGAAATTAAACCTCGCCAATTAATGACCACTCTTCAGAAGTGTATTTTAACCATCAAATTTCGAAGCTATTTTTGCATGCTTTAAACTACTCGTACTCGTTTTCACACTTGAAATTCAACCATTTAAAATGATTGAATGTGATCTCCGGTGGCATTTAAGAATAATCTTCAAATAACGAAATTCAATAGCAAGCTATTCTAACTTATAGTTGAAGCGCTACGTTTATCAGGCTGTAAAATATCAATAAGAGTATTTTGCTGCATGTGCGTTTGCTTTTTACTTATAACATCGTCCATACAAATCGTTGCTTTTATTTGACAGTATCAAAATCAAGCAGTTTATTTAGAGAAGCTGAAGGTTATCTTTCGATGAGTTTAAGCGTCTCCTTCAGTGCCTTAACCTATATCCCATGTGAGTTCTCAAGGACTTCCATACCGATTATTTCCCTACCATTGAAGCTATTCGGAAGTAAAGAATCACTCATCTGAATGATGCTTGTATAATGATTATGTAGTAGATAAAACACAACTATTCGTGTTTATTGGTTATATGTATTTGTCCCCACATACAAAAGGTTGTAAACATAAATACTATCCATGAATGGATATTTGATTTATGCGTCAACATTGCTCTCGAATAAGTCAGATACGTTTCAGTAATAAGAGGGAATAATTGCTCTTGGTATGAATATCTGATTTATTTCATTTAAAGTACATAGATCCTAATAAGTAACAAAAAGTGTGCTACACTTAAAAGAAATAAAAGAGAAATTGGCAGTATAATCAATAAATAAATGGGCAGAAATAGTAATCCATAAAAGGTAGATTTCAGTGTAAAATACAGCTGTCAGTAACAACGTAGAACGTTGTTACTGACTGACTGCTGACACCTAGGTTACTATTTTCAGCTAAGGACGCTCATTCTATTTTGGTTATCACTGAAACAGAACTTATACGGGTCGACGTAAAGAAAGGTGGATATCGATAACAGATGAATATTTATTTATAAAATGTACCGTACTTTAGTTCATATGTAACAACTTTAAGTTTACGCATATTTTTGCATGTTATTGCATGGTTTATGACTGACTGATGGTACATTAAACCATATATAGCTAAATTTTTGTTTCGATTTCATATTTACTCTTATTTAGGTATTTTGGTCTTATATCACTGCTATGTTAACAAACCTTGGAAGTTCGTCATTAGATCGAATCCATTCGATGCTTAAAATGTTCGCACTCGGTTCTACATCCAGTTTAGGATTTAATAGAGATGAACTACGCCGATTTCTAGATAAGAAAATTAGAGAAGGCCAACTAAGTTATGATGGTGAAATGTATAAATTAACAATCCCTGATGTGTAAATACTTTAAGTGTATTGTACAAATAAATATCGTAAAATCTTTTTAATTTAAAATTACTGTATATTTCTTCATTGTTGTTTAATAACAAAAACATAAATTTTCTAAGAGTTAAGTAAAGTAGCAAATCACCCTGTATTTTTCTATGCCTGTGAAACATGGTCTATGGAATGAGACACGCGTGAGATGAAGATTCCCAGTTGTCTTCGGAGTATTTCCCGCGTATCGCGAGTAAGCGTGAAGATGAAATGTATATAGGCCATTTATAGTGTGTTGTAATTGATAACTGTTAAATACGCAACAGGTATTTAGATTTTCGTTCATAACAGTCCTATCTACCTTTTCGTTTGGAAAAGCAATTATCTGTGTTTTCAATCGACCGAGGGATGTGAACAAAAATTGCCACCCTTGATAAGAGCAGATGAACTTCTTTGATCTAATTATCTTATTTTAGGACACTATAGAAACCTTGCAAAAATGCAATTCAAAAAGGGGGGTTTCCAACATATTTTATTAATTTTATATCGGCTGATATATTGGGTTGATCAGAAATCGACTGAATAATAAGTGAACGTAATTAGCCAAAACACAGGTTTCATTTTTAAGAGATGATATGTCAAGAGGCAGACGTACGAATGAGTACATATACGATCGATTTGGTTTAATCAATAAAATTTATCACTTTGTTCATTCATTCACGTAACCGGTTGGGCTCATGCATAGTAAGATCGCGTATCAATATCAGCTCCCAGATCCTATAAGTCACAAGTTTATTTAAGAAAAACCAGTTATTACTAAGTTATTTGGAGTTTCCATCTTACTCTAGATCTATGCACAAGGGTATCTCAAATAATTAACTATCAGGGTGACTGGTAAACCTCAGTGAAGTCGAGAGCGTTTGCTGTGAAATTCAGGAGTGGCTATTAATATTTACTTATTTTTCTCCCAACATCTACTGACAGTAACTAAGTATCTCTTCGACAAACAGGTATGACTTACGCGACTGGCGAAACCTATTTCTGAAAAGAAAAAATCGACTGGAGCACTTGTAAATGGATTTATTTTTGAGAAATAATCAATGTGACGTAGAAATAGCAGGATATAACGAAACTACTGCTGAAAATCGTACAAAAGGAGATGATGAGGCAGTTCTGAGTTTGACAGACGATAGTGCGATGGAATTATTTCCTACAGAGATCGAATCGTTTAGCTACATCGCTCCAATTTATAATATCCCAAATCGCCTTTACATAGTCTGGACGTACATTTTTGTACTGAAGATAATATGCATGCTCCCAAACGTCAATCCCAAGTAAAGGTTTCAAACCTATAAATTTTAATAAAATTCAATAGATACATTAAGCTTAGAATAGAGGTGTTAATAAAGATTTTTAGTATTTGTCAAAAATTTCTACACAAATGAGTTTAAGATCACTTTATTATTACCTGTGATATATTGATGGTGCTAAGATGTTCTTATGTTTACACTATAATATTTGTTATTATTCTTAGGATTTTGTAGTGCTACATTATAAGAGCCTTATTTATTTATTTAAACACACCTTGGCACAAGGGGGCACCAAATATATATGCGTCACACTTCATTCGATTTGTGTGAGGGCTGGGATACTCCTTAAGCGCCCATACCGAAGCACGTGGCTTTCTTAGGAGGCCACAACCCGAGCCTTCTACCTAATCCACGAAGCAGTGGAGCATCGTTAGGAGATGCAGGGTCATGGTAGCCGGTGACCATAAATAGGTTCGTACGTTATTTGTTCCCTCAGGATCCGGGTGTCCGTGTGCACCATTGGTTTGCAATCAGGGTTTTCCAACTTTCCTAACTGGGATCCTCCGTATCCACAAGCCTGGTTAAAGCGCCGTCCTCTCAAATTTGTAAACAGTGTCCCTTCTGCTAGAAGGCAGTGAGTAGGACTTTCCTAGCAGCAGCTGTATACGCATGTCTATGTGAGAGCATTTCGAGAGGGATAGTGGACTCTACCTGCCCTCGGCCGTATCAGAGCATTTGAAGGCTGTAAGAGTTAATCTTACCGTCATATTTAGTGATAATATCAACTGAGATACTATCATGGAAATGACTTGATCATCCTTGTAAGTTTCAATCATAGACAACAATCAGTTCTTAAGTTCTGATACCATCCAACTGCATGTTATGAAATAGGTAAAGAGAACCTGGGAACTGAAAGTTAACAGTTGAGAATTGAGTGCTTTAGTTGCGACTACAGATCTTTATGGGTTGATGGACCTCAAGTCATAGTTGTTTTGTGAATCCAATAAATACCATATTTGGACAAACTGTAGTATAGGTGAAGCTTAAACGCAAACTTAAACCACAGCTTTGCAACTAGGAGTTAGATAACAGAAAAACTATACTACTTACACTCTGAAGCTTATTAGTTAACCAAATGGCATTATGCATATGTGAAAAAGTCATCTTAAGATTTACCCGTAGTCCCTTCAAGAGGGTCTTGATTAGCGCATGTGGCAATTTGTAAACGCTTTGTGTTGGGATTATATCCAAGCCAACCCCAACCCGAACCCTGGATAGCAATTGTTGCAGCAGACAGCTTTGACTTGAAGTTATCAAACGATCCAAACTCATCATTAATAGCATTAGCTAAACTACCCGTAGGGACACCCCCACCTTTAGAACTAAGATTATGCCAAAAGATGCTGTGATTGATATGTCCTCCACCATTAAAACGGAGTGCTGGCTAGTAGAAAACATTTAAAAATATTGGAAAAGCAGTGAATTTTAACATCATTAACGGGGTCCACTACCAAATAAAATTGTTTAGAAATGTCATGCTTATCAACAAAAGGAAGCAGCTGACTAGTATCTCCAGTTAAAATTATGGCGCAAAGCTGAGTAAATAAACTTGAGTTAGATGAATGATTTGATACACATAATTTAGGACGAGAGGGAGTAAGTTTGGAGGTGCAAAACGATATATTTAATGAAGGTATAAATTAATAAGCCAAACATATGAGCTGCTAGTATATCATTCTATAGTTTACTATCAACTTACATCTTTGTCAAACCCAAACCACGTTTACGACTAGAATTTCTTCGACTAAAGTCCTTGTTCCTAACTTGAAAAACAACTTTCTACCGATTTCAGTACGGACGAATAATTGAAAAAGACCAATACGACATTTACATTTCTTGGCCGATGTAACACTGCAATTACCCATTACTCCATGCAGTTCATATGCCTTAGAGTATATGGCGGGTAAAGCATATAGAAGGTATGAATAACTAGAAATTTAAGCTTGACAATGAAGAAAACTGCAGGTGTGATTTTCTCACTCGGTATAACATGAAGACTGAGTGATTTCCGACCGAAAATAGTAGACCACCCACAAAAAATACGCCAGGAACGATACAGAATAGAAAGGAAGGCGAGGGAAAAACAGGTGAAAAATAAAACTTTTAGTTTTGTTAATGCTTGCTTATAGTTTTTGAAGCAAGATAACGACCGGCTTATACTTCTTTTAGTTTCTTACAATTACTACCCGATTGTCTCTACAACTAAGGACTTATTTTGACACCTATTTACCACATGAATAGGTAATATAGCACAGAAAATACATCGAAAATTTTTTTCAAGTCCTTCCTCACGAGGTCACCGTAATACATTGAAGTTTTGAAACTAGACAAGCAATTCACGACTTCTAATAGGCTTGATACAGTAGACCAAAAATAGCAGACTTAGTACTGTTCATATATTTCAATCAATTAAGGAACAATACATTAGCGTGATAGTTTAACTTTGAGTGTGAGGTTTATTGTTTTTCTACGGACAGACTCCTAAGACTGAGTTCTTCAGTTTGCAAATGGTAAAAAAGTGTAGAGTAACCAGCACATAACCTAAAGAAATCCTCATATATTATAACTAATTAGTGTCAATTGCTTAGTATCCCAGTTAGTTATTATTACTAAACTTACAAAACCATTATTCACAAGATTTTATCATTTTGATTAAGGGGAAAAAACTCACTTATATCGAATTTAATGATAGTTTTTAGCGAAGTATTCAAAGTCAATGACCTGTCATGTGTAAGGATGTCTACATAACCGATTTACGTCTTAAAATATGAAAAGACCAACTATTTTTGTATTATAGTATGAGGTACTATGTATTAAGCATTTGAAGTGACACTCAAACGGAATACTTATATCTAAGTATAAATACTCCTCCCAAGAATATATCATTTTACACCAATATTTGAACCACGATGACTGACCTGAAGAGATACCATTTTTGTAACGTCACTTTTCGAGATAGCTTCAGCAAGCTGTTCCTCAGCACTATTGAGATTATTAACATATGCTGCATGATGTTTGGAATGATGTAACTGCATTATTTCTCCTGATATTACGGGTTCCAAAGCATTGTGTTCGTATGGTAAAGGGGGCAATGTGTGTTTAAAGCGTAGTCCATAATTACGAATGATACTGGATCTGAGGATGCGTGTAGTAGCCATTGGAGCACGAAAAGTTATTACTCCTGTAGCGTCTACAACTCCTCGCGCACTTCAATGCCCGAATTCAAACCTCAAATCCTGGTTGTCGGAGATTGCTTGTACTCTGACATATGTGTCTGGGTAGAAATAGAATACTTTGAGTTTTTGGGAAGAATGATCCCTCTTATATTTTTTTATGAATCTAATGATGTCGTTCAATGTGTC